CTTCCTTCCTTCCTTCCTTCCTTCCTTCCTTCCTTCCTTCCTTCCTTGTCTAAATTTAGTATTCTCTCTCATATGGAGGCAGCTCTTCAAATTCTCTTGGCTCTTATAGCGTGTTCTACCAGTGGCCGTGGCGATGAGATTCATGCAGGCTTTGATCTGCTTTCACATATTGAAATTCCAATAGCATCAAGTGAAGGCCTCTGTGGGATGTGCCCTTTCTTCTCTGAGCTTCTCTGGTACCGTGTCAGCTCATGGGTAGATGCATGGCCCAGAGGTCACTGCCTCATGAGGGAACCACTGACCAATTGGGGACAGGGCCCCTTCCTTCTCTTGGAAACGGTCCTTAAGGACCTACATACCTCCTGTGAACACACGCCCCCGAGTCTCCTCGGGGCCAGCGCCTCACCTATCACCCCATGGCCATCACTGGCATACATGCCGGCATTGGCATTCCCTCTGAGCAGTGGTGTGGATAAGATATGCACCCCTGCCGGGCTCACATATGTGAACACTTGGTCCCCAGCTGTTGGCGCCGTGTGGGGACGGTATGGGGCCTTCAGGAGGTGGAGCCTTGCTGGAGGGCGTGTGTCATTGAGAGCTGGCTGCAGGGGTTTACAGCCCCTCTCTCCTTTCAGCTTGCATCTGGACCCTGCATGTGGATGGGGAGTGATCAGCTAGTTTCCTGCTCCAGCCACCTGCTGCCAAAATAACCAAAACAAGCGGTTTCTTCCTTAAGTCATTTGGTCATGGTGCTTTATCAAGGAACACAAAGTAACTAAGGTCCCCTATAGGTTCTTTCTCCGTGCCCCCTTTTTTTTGGGTGCCTTGGTGGGTTATCCGTCTAAGTAATCACAGACCCTTTGTCTTGGGCCCTGTCTTTTGGGTAGGAAAGGCTGAAGCCCTCTGTGGCCATGCCCTCTTAGCTGACTACGCCTGCTAGCTGCCGTGGCACTGCAGGCTTAGGTCTAGGCATCCAGTTCCACAAAAGTCACTCCCCACGCCCTGATTCTTGTGCGTTAGACTTACCTGCCTTTAGCAGGGGCCTCAGGGCAGACAGTGCCCTGAGCCTCTGTAGCAGGGAGCCACGCTGGAAGGCTGCTATATCCACTGGGGCTGCATCCAGCAAGGGGTCAATGGCTAGCACCAAGCGTCTCATGAACTCCTCATACCTGGGAAAAGCCTGCAACAGACCTTCATGCTAGCGTTCCACAGTCCAGAATCCCAAAGGAGACTGCCCTCAAGCCTGGTCCTCCGTGCCACCCTCCTATATGGCTGCTGTCCCCCACTGTGCAGTCCTGATGGCTCCCTGAGCCACACCCCCAGCCAGGGCCCAGCTTGGCTCTGCTCTGTTCTTTCAATTCAAGGTCTATACATAACATGCAAAAGGCAGAGCAGCCTGTGCAATCTCACAGCCACCAGGACCAAGGGTCAGCATGGGCCACCAGCAGCCACACATAACTGAGGGTATAGGCTGTATGGTTTAAAAATAAAAATCATTTAAAAAGTCCATGTCCTGCGTTTGTGACTGGTGAACAGCAGATCTCTTCCCAGCATGCTCTCCACTCAGCTTTGACCTCTCAGGCTGACATGCTGCCTCATCCCATGGAGCCACAGAAGCCTGTATCCTCTTTCCTAGCAGCCTCCATCACAGAATCGTCCACAGCTGTGTTCCTCCCTCCTCACACCGGCTAGGTGACAGGGACAAGGATGGAAGCTGCCACCACACATTCTTATTGATTTTAGCCCTGGACTTGAGTTTGGGCTCAGCTATATATGTGGTGAGCCCAGGAAATGGTGGTGTTATGTAAAGTTCTGTGGTAAGGAACTTTCTAAAAATCATAAATAATAATAAAGTTTCCCCTAGAGCAGGCTTGCAAGATGACAAAACCATAGACTGAGGTCTCTGGGTTCCTTAGGACATGGACTCAGGCCTCCCACTGGGTGGTCCCTAGCAGGTAGAGGCACAGGCACAGGCACAGGGACGAGGGCCCTCAGCCCACTACACCAGATGCTCACGATGAGGGAGGGGTGTCACATGTGTGCTCATCAGCCCGTGTTCCGATTTCCATCAGGAATGTCCCTCACACGTGCAGGTATTGGGACAATTTGGGACGAAGTGGCACCGTTTGGGAGAGGCTAAAGAACCATCGAGACATGGTTCTGTTCAGCAGGATGTAGGGCATACAGGCAAACTCTAAGACATACAGGCTGGCTCTGCTTCCGCTGAGCTCTCTGCTCCCAGGCAGCTGACAAGAAGTAACCGGCACCTCACGATCCTGCTGCCACAGCTGTGGGCTGCTCCCATCACGGTGCCTTCCCGCCTGTTCCCTCTCAAGCAACAAGCCAAATAAATCCTTCCTCCTTTAAGCTACTGCTAGCCTGTGCTCTGTCTCAGCCGTGAGAATAGCAGCTAACACAGCCAGGCTTAGGGTGCTCTGGGTAAAGGTGAGTGCTGTGTGCTTGTGGCTGCCCTAGCTTTGCCCAGTGCTAGATTAGCACACCAGAAGGCGAGTGCACCTCTTAGCATGCCTCCGCTGAGACAGGATTTGGTACCTCACCTGCAGCTGGCATCCAGGCTGGTACAAGGATGGCCATTCTAGAAAATTCCCCAACTGCAGAACCCGCCACACCAGGCCCATTGCATCACCCGCTGACTCATCTGGACAAGGCCCAGCAAACGTGTTCCTGCACTAGCTGCGCAGGAAGCAGCGTGCATCCTCCATCTGCTGTGTGTTCTGGGAGGCAGATCTGTACACCACTGCGGACGCTTTCTTGTTTTGGCTGTCACTGATGTCAAGCAGAAAGAACATTTTCTTGTCCTAAGTCCTTCTTGTGGGCTTTCATGGGCTTTTGGATGGGTAACACATGGGGTTTTGAGCAGAAGCAGAGGGGATTCCTTCATGAAATCCAGCATGCTGAGACTGGTCTGGTCAGTAACCTCAGATGAACACAGCGGCTCCAGGAGTCCCAGTGTCTACTGCTCTTAACTACTGTCCCCCTGCACCTTCTCAGAGTGTCTAAGGTCAAAGGCTAGAACGGCCTGAGTTGTCCAGGGAAAGCGGCCTGTTCAGCCATAGCCTCAACATCCACTTCCTCTCAAGAGCCAGCTCTGGGCTGCAGAGGGAGAACTCCAGTCCCTGCTCACCTTCCTTACCTGAGCATCCCTCCGTGAGAACTGAGAGATCTGCTTCTGGTTTTCAGCCATGTCTGTGCCCAGCAGAAGGGACCTGGGCGCCTTGCTCGGCGTGCCCTCTTCCAGCATGGGGGTGAAGGAGTAGGGATTTCGCAGGTGAAGCTTCAGTCCATGCTTCTGCAGAACCACAGACATACAGGCATTTTAGGGATCCATGTTTCTGCACTTGACCCTTCTCCAGTTCTGTTTGTGGGGCCAGGTAAGCATGTTTGCAGTTGACTCCCAGGCCCTGGGACCCTCATCCATAACGGCCCTCCCTCCCTTCAGAAGGAAATAAGTAAACTTTGAAAATTATGAAAATCCGTATGCACGAGGTGGGTAAGTTAGTCATGTAATTCTTAAACTTGCATGGCGGCCTGGTTTACTGCAAGGCCACCTTCAGGGAGGCCTCCTTGCTGCACTGAAGTCAGTGTCTGATTTGTGATGCTTCACAGTGGAGCTCATCGGCTCCTCCCAAAGGTCACATCACATTTGTGATGTGAGACTGTGTGCTCATATCAGTTGGACAGACTGTGGCCACTGTCTGGGGTCTTCTTTGTCCTGATCCATGGCCTGCTTCCCACTTTATGTCTCTGCTCACAAGCCTATCTGCAAGCCCCCCACCCCGAGCCTCACCACACTGGCATGCTCTCTGTCCCCTTAACCTGTATTCTGCCCAAAGCCCTGGCCACCACATGGTCAACTCCATGTACTCTTTGTAGCTGCCACTCTGAGGGGACCGCAAACGCTTTGAGGTGGGGGTGTTTCTGTTTTTGCCACTGCTGTAGCCCTCGTGTGGGCTCTCATGTGCTGGTGACTGGATTGTTGCTGACAAGACTGTGCCTTAGAGGATAACAGCAGGATGTGCGAGTTGAAGAGCTGGGAAAGCACATGGAAACAAAAAAGACGACCTTCCCAACATTCTGGGAGCTGCCCAAACCAGAGACTTTCCAGCAGACCTCGTCACCCAGCTTCGGGATCTGCAGAGCATGGTCCAAATGTGGGAAGGGGCTGGGTGCGGGGAGCTTTGGGCCCTTCTTTTAAACATTGAGGTTGGGGTCTATTCATTACAATTTGGGAAAACTACCTTGGGACCTCTTAGTTTCTTTTATTTAATCTTATGTGTACAGGTATTTTGCCTGTGTGTGTGTGTGTGTGTGTGTGTGTGTGTGTGACACCTTATGTGCCACATGCCTGTGAAGGTCAGAAGATGGCATCGGATGCTTTGAAACCAGAGTCACATGGGTGCTGGGACTTGAAGCCAGGACCTCGACAAGAGCAGGAAGTGCGGGGCTAGCTCTCCAGCTCCAGCCTTGGGTCCTCCGAAAATGAAGTGTTTAATCGAAGGGGCTAGCCTCAGCTTCGCCCTTTCTCTCACATTTGACATGTCTCACATTGCTAAATCTGCTCTGGAAGCTGTCCACCCCTCTCCAGCCTCACGCCCTCGTCGCAGACTGCCATCTTGTGGTCCACTGAGCAGCTGCCTCCGGTATCCGTGGGCCTCCATGCCTTAATCTTCTAACTCCTGCTTCCTGATTAAACAGCTCTCTGGCTTCTCACTGTTCCTAGATGAAATGCAGCCCCAGCACGAATCGCCCCGGCCCCGTTCCCTGCTGCGCCTCCATAGCAGACTGCTCTGGGCACAGCGACCTGCTTTCTGTTCCACTCGCCTTGGCCTGCCTGTTTCTGCTTTTCTCGGACAAGAGCGCGCTCTCTCTCGGATGTCCTCGTGGCTAGTGGCTTCTTGCTATCTAAACAGGAGTTCCTGGTCACCCGGGGAGGGTGGAGCTTCACCTCTGCCTATCACACTGTTTTCTGTTTTTCTTTTCTGTCACTTACCTGTGCTTAAAGTTCTCTTACTGTGTCTCTGATTCCTCACCCTACTTGTCCCCAGGCTTGTTCGTGTCCTGGTGCAAAGCAGGCACTCAGGGAGCACTGACTGAACAACCCAGTCGATAAGCAGCCAAGGGGAAGCCGAGTTATTTCGAGTGTGACTAATTAATCACTGATAATTTGTTTTTTTCCTTTCTGATTCTAGGACTTCTAAATGGTACCTTTGTCATTCCTGAGAAGTAAGAAGATGGATGAGCAAGAGAAGGCTAAACTCTCCCGGAATGCCCAGGAGCTGTTCAGGGTACGCAGCTAGCCTCAAGTAACAAAAACAAAAGCAGGCCCTTCCTCTGCTTGGCCGATTCTCAGCATGCACAGACATCCCAGGTGGACAGGGGAGGGGAGGACCAGCTGTGTCTCAGCCCTGAGAATGCTGTGAAAGGCTGCCCTGGGTCCCACGGCTATAAAAGCAGGCTTCCGAGCAGAGACCCTGGAAGTCCCCACATCCCACCAGTACCTAGGCCATTCCCACCAAGAGCTAGGTGTGCGCCCTCACCCTAGGTAGATTCCCAGGAAAGCATGAGTGGGAGGAACTGTGGACAGAAGAGACCTAGAAGATCCCCCAGGGAGGGCAGGGAGGGCTGAGGCTGCCCTCCTCCCCCAATCTGCTGTCATGAACTGGGACTCCATTACTACACATTTCCTTCAGCTATAGTATGGAACGAACTGAAGACCCTGGACCTGACCTCAGGCTTTGGCTACGTTCTATCCAATTCTGATGCTACATCTCTTCCATTTCTCTCTCTCTCTCTCTCAAAACAATAAATTCTTCATTTGGGCTTCTGTTACTTGATTCTGTTGCAGCGGTTCTCAGCTTTCCTAACGCTGAGACCCTTTAATACAGCTCCTCATGTCGCGGTGATCCCAACCACAACATTATTTTCATTGCTGCTGTAAATCTGTAATTTTGCTACTCTTATGAATCATAATGTAAATATTGCTTGGAGATAGAGGTTTGCCAAGGGGGTTGTGACCCACAGGTTGAGAACCGCTGTATCAGAGCAAAGTGCTTTATAAACAGTGGCTGTGTGCCTTCATTTCCACATGAGCAGGACTCGTGCAGCATAGGTGGCCCAGTGGCCCTTCTGTCTAAGGTGGGAGACAGCCTGGCCAGCACATCGGAGCTAAGTCAGTCTGAGGACTGAGGTGGTTGTGTTTGCGAGGCTGTGTCTACTTGAAGAAGGAGGCGGACAGAGGCAGGCCTGCCAGTGGACAAAGGTTAGCAGACTAGAGAGAACAAAGGCCAGGGAAACTGCTCCCAGGAACCCTTCCAAATGGCCCAGAAGCCAGAAGAGACCCCAGTCCTCTGAGGCAAATGGCATGGCAGTGCTCAGTAACTCCCTCTAAAGAAGTCTGAGCCAGATGAGGGAGGGAGAATCTCTTTTTAGGCAAGATTCCACACACCTTAAAGAGAAAACAAATTTTACAAGTAAATAAGGCCACGCCAAGTGAGGTAAAGTGGGAGGAACAATCATGCCCCATGGGGCTGGAGGGATGGTTCAGTGGTTAAGAGCGCTGTCTGTTCTTCCAATAGGACCCAAGTTCGACTCCCAGCCCCCACATGACAGCTCACAACTGTCTATAACTGTGAGGTGGTCTGACACCCTCACACCAATGCACATAAAATAAAATTAAACAAATTATTAAAAAAACAAAAACAAATCAAACAACCATGCCCTTAAGAAAAAGCACACTGTTACACCCCCCAGGTCGCAGACCTTCACGAGAGCCTGTTGGGAGCTATGGGGTGGGGAGAGTTACAAGAGTAAGCAGGGAGTCGATACCAGGTTGTGCTATCGAAAGCCTCCAAGCTGCCTATGACTTGTTTTCGGGCTCTCGCCTTCCATGGTGAGATTAAAAATAATCCAGCACAGGCATCTCAGCAAGAGGAGGTCCTTAGCTGTCTGTCCTAATGGCGGGGCTAAAAGTGAAGCCAAGGCTTTAACCCTGGCCACAGAGCTAAGGGGGGCAAGCTGACGACAGTAAATACAATTGGTCCCTCCTGGTCCAATGTCAACAAAATTAAAGGGTAACGTAGCGATAAACCCTTTTCCTTCCTGGTCACATGAGTAAAAGGTAGGCTGAGGCTATACTTATTGCCACTCCCTGTTCGAGGTACATGCCAAGTTCTAGGCTGCCTGGAAGAACTAACTCTTGCAGACTGTAAGTCTAACCCCAAAACACTAAGGTCCAATATTCCCTCTTGGCTCAGCCTTAAAAGGTGAAGCATCCAAGGCCCCCATCACCCTGGGAAGGGAGCAATCTTGTTCTCCTCCAACAAAAACCCAGGGGTAAGGCCATGTCCCAATTCCTTTCTTCCCTCTGGTGTGCCCACATTGCATCTCACAAGCACACCTTTTCCCTTTGCATATGAGCAAAAAAGGCAACTGTCTGTCCCTTCACCATCCAGCTCTTTCCCCTGACACCGTGACATCCATGTTCAGGGCACTCTCCCTCTAACTCCAATAAACTGCCTGACTTTCTCTCTGGGTCTGTTTTAAAATTCTTTTATCTTTGAGCCCAAGAACGTGCAAAGGGGACTCTGGCCACAGCGACACGGGTTTCTGCTCATGCTGTCAAGAATGGTGGTAAAGGCCAAAGTTTAACGAGGGCGTATCAGGCCGCTTTGTAAACTCAGGTGCCCAAGGCTGTATACAGGTGCTTGATGAAGACCAGATAAGATGCCAGGAGGCAAAGGGAGTCAGGGCAGAGCCCCTGCCCCAGGCACCAGCCATGGCTGCCCCTCTAGATTGAAGATCCAATGCTAAAAAACTTTGTTTTTCAAGAGGTCTGTTTCTTATTTGAGATTTCCCAGCTTTTAAAACACAGGGTAGCTGAGACACCATGGAGCTGTGGCATGCAAGGAACATGTGTGGGATGGACAGAGGCTGGAAGAGAAGAAAGACCTCAGGCAGGGAGCCGCTCAGGGATGGGACGCGCTACCTCCCTCCAGGTCAGGAAGATGGGATCACCCCCACCCTTGGCCAACCACCAGGCCGAGAGGGCTAGCTCTACCTTCAGCTCCAGGTCTGTGTAAATCTGTGGCCTCAGAAGGCTGAGAAGATAGGACGCTCGGGAGAACTTGAACCCTGGAACCAAATCAGAAGAACCAGTCACCCCTGATCGACCCTGCCTCTCCCCTTCTCCCCACTTCTCCGGGCTCACCTGGAATGATCTCCTCGGTGACAGCCGCACCCCCAATCACATGGCGCCTCTCGAAGACAACAGTGTTCACCCCCTGTCTCTGGAGGTACGCCGCCTGGAGGACAGAGGCGCCTTTCTTGATTCCTTGGGGTTGGCCAAGGACCCTCCCTGCAGGGCCTGCCAAGCCCTTGGTTGTAATGTCTAGATGTCCTCTTAGATCTGGTGTGTCTGCGTCTGCCCTTCCACTTCCCAGCTGAAGATGATCTTTCTTTTAGGGGAAGCCTGGTGCCTGGGGGATGCACTTTGCATCATGTCTACCCTGTCCTGGACGGTCCTGTCCTTCCTCCAGGATGGAGCAAACCCTGTTCTCCCATCAAAGGCAGCATGGCGAGGCTGAGAACACCAAGCCAGAGTTTCTGGGTTCATTTTTCTCATTCAAATTCCTGCTGATTCATGTGCCCCAGCTCCGTCACCTGCAAAGATAGGGCTAACAATTACAGTTCCAGCTTTCGAAGCTTCCCAGGGCTGGTGGGTGCTACCTTAGCCCGGGGGCTCTCAACCTTCCTAATGCCACGACCCTTTAATACAGTTCCTGGTGTTGTGGCGACCTTCCCAACCATAAAATTCTTTCATAGCTGTGATTTTGCTACTGTTATGAGCTACATTATAAATATCTGATACAGAGGATAGCCAAGACCCTGGAGGGGTCGCGACCCACACGTTGAGAACTGCTGTCTCTACTGCGCATTTAAAATATGCTTTATTGCATATGCCCTGATACCTTTGGCACATGCAATAAAGGGACAGTGTGGGTGTGGCAAAAGTTTATTTGGGGGGAAATGACCGATGGAGGGTTTCTATGAACTTTTCTCCAGTACTTAGAGGGAAATTAATAAATATATATCTAGCTGAGCCTACAGACCTGCAGAGAGAGGGAGAGACAGAAAGAGAAAGCGAGGCTGTGCCACTGATACCAACGTGGCAAGACAGGTGGTGAAGTTCCTAAGTCACACTTTGCGAAGTCCGCTTGCTAACTACTGAGTGTATCTAGCCAGCCACGCTAGGAACACTTGCTGTGGTCTCCCCACTTTATAGCTGGGAACCTGAGGCCCAGCGAAGGTAACAGCTTGCCTCCGGCTCCCAGAGCTGTTGAATAGAGGTGTTGGGAATCCAATCCCCAGATAGATTGTATTGAGAACAATGAAAGAGTAGAGTCTGGTCTGGCAGGTTGACGTGGCACACAGAGGGAAGCCATGCTGTTCTCAGAAACTACTCCACAGAATGACATCTGTGAACCAGGGCGCTCTGAGACCATGGAAATGAGGCAAACACTGCGCAGCGCTGCCTGGGAGATGGGGGGCTCTGTCCCACCTACAGAATGCCGAACACTCCTCATGCTGGCTATAGGTAAGCTTTGCTAGGCCCGGGTTGTTGTCATTTGCGGATAGTAGCTAATCTAGAGCAAACCCTTATTTTTTCAGACTCTGTATTAGGTTCTTTCCAATACTTTCTTCCTTGCCGAGCACAGAGTGCCTCCAACTTGGTGTGAGAGAGCCTTCCAATCCCAGGTTCCAACTTGCTCCTCCATGCGGTGAGTGATGTAACCCTCAGACCCTCCCACAGGCCATGGAGGCCATGTGCCTTGGGGCAAGGACAAAGCAGGAGTCCATGGTGTCCCCGCTAGCTGGCCCTGGATCAACACTAGCTGCGTGAACAGACTGCCCTTTCCCTCTCTCCTATGGCCTCTGTCCTGCTTGCTTTTTTCAAACCCTCCTCTTCGCTCCTGGGAGCCACTGGCTGGGACGGGGGTGGGGGGCGGTCAGTGAAGTGGGCACAAAGGGGTACGCACAGCCACCAGCCCATTGTGTCCTGCAATGAGATAAGAGAGAAAAGTGTTACTAAGTACATGTTTTTGGTGTCAAGTCACACACTAACATGCCTGTCCCACATTCGGATGTGGGGTGTCATCTCAGGGGGAGACAGGAAGCTCACCCCACCCTGGTTCTGTTGGCCTTGGGAGAAGCTCTGTTTCTGGTTTCAAGGTCAAGCAGTCCACAGTTCCTGGACTTCTGTCCCTAGAGGGAGCTGGTGACAGTGTATGGAAGTGTCACGGTTTACATGGCTGGTGTGCCATGCTGCCAGCTGAGCACCATTCACGGGGACAGTTGCTTTCACACACAGCTTGTTTGACCCCAGTGTGGCCAGTAGCGTACACAGTAGCGCTCCCAAAGGCTTGGTTCACATAGGACTGTCCCCGCCAGTCCACAGTGCTCCGACAACGAAACAGGAGCAGTTCAAAATTAAGGAAAAAAAACAAAGTGACTAACACATAGCTTCGGGTACACGCCAGTAACAAGGTGGGCTCCATTCTGCAGGTGGGGAGTTGTGCGGGAACATGATTTCTCACCGTCCCCAGGACGTCCCGTGGCACCAGCCCTACACTGAGCACACAGGCTGCTCTGCTTCTCACTTCCATGAGACACGCTCGGCTTTGGTGGAGAATCATTCACAGGCGGGAAACAGGCCCAGACAGTATCAGCCAGCTCCAGGGCCCCTGCTCATTTTTCTCCTTGGTGACAGATGCCACTCAGCCTTTCAGATGTCAGTCGACGGCTGTGATCTCTCAGCACCCACCGGGGACCCATTACGGGGGCTCAAATAAAACGCTCAGCTTTTATCCGACAAATGCCCACGAGTAGGAGAGCGGCAATGACCCCCGTGATAAATTTCTTCATGGCTGAATTGCTTTTGTTTTAAATTTCCCACATGGAGATATCCAGAATTTTAGAGGTCACTGAGCCACCTTTCTCATCTATTAATGGAGTCTCTGAAACTGGATTTTTCAAGCCCTTTTGCTCACGATTTACAAGAATAAATGTACCTTACATTATGACCTGGCATAAAGCTGACTAACAAATGTTTTCACAGACCCGAAGCTCCATGCCCTAGTATTAACCCATCCTGTGATAAGTACATATGATAACCTCTGTCATACAGTGGTTCCCAGCCTTCCTAATGCCAGGACTCTTTAAAAACAGTTCCTCACGTTGTGACGACCCCAACCATAAAATTATTTTTGTTGCTAATTCATAACTGTAATTTTGCTACTGTTCCGAATCTTAATATAAATACTTGACATACAGGTTATCTAACATGCAACGCGTGTGAAAGGGTCGTTTGACCCCCAAAGGGGTCACAACTCACAGGTTGAAAAGCACTGACTATGTGGTTTTATTTAAAGAACGTTAGAAAAATTTCATAAGGAAGTTTTGAAAAAGAATTGCTCATTGCACCCGCCTGTGGTTTGAACCTGCCGTTGGAGAAGCCATTCTCTGAATATACGTGTACATTCAAGGCAGGCGGCCCTGGGCTTCACCTGGCTTGGTCCTCAGAGGAGCATTTACCAAGTAGCAGCTGCCTTGAACTCCTTCATATGTAAGTACTATGTACATAACGTGCATTCTTCCTGCGTAACGTGCGACCTTGCAGTGCTGAGGGGAATCAGCAGTGTCCAAGCAGCGCTCAGCCTGCTGCAAGGCTGTAGCAAACATGGCAGCGATTTAGCTTTTCATTGGTGCTGCTTGTCAGCCCTGGAAAACCAGCAAAACCTTCCTGGCAACCGGTCCCAGTTCAGTCACAGAGGGACAAACAGACTTCAGGTGACAGAAGACAAAAATTGCAAAGTCCAGAATCCTACCCCCATCCACTAAAGTCCTGGCTGACTCTTCTGGTGACCTGTCCCTTTCTGCTGCAGGATCTGCTAATCCCCGGGGCTCATGGGGATGCCCACTCAGCAGTCGATGACCCTTGAATGCAGCTAAGCTGCCTGAGCCTGGGCACTGCTGCCAACACTTTTCAAATTCGCTCCCTGTGTGGAGTGCTGGTCGATGGGTTTTCAATCAAAAAACATGACACTTCAAACCAAGAGCACGGTATTTTAGTTTTTTAGAGACAGGGTTTCTCTGTGTAGCCTTGGCTATCCTAGGCTTGCTTTGTAGAACCGGCTGACCTCAAACTCACAGTGATCCACCTGCCTCTATCTCCCTGAGTGATGGGATCAAAGGCATGCGTCACCTCACCTGGCTGTTATATTTGATTTTTAAAGTTGTGTGAGATGCATCTTTATTTTGGTATCAATAATAAACGCTCGTGTGTGTACACGCTGGGCAGGGTGGCTGTCAGCAGACACAGGACCAGAGCAGCATTTAAAGCTGTGTGGTGAGCCTTGTGGAAATGTGAACCTGCTATCATCTTCGAAGAGCCCAGGTGGAAATAAACACCTTCAGGCCCCCAAAGCGAGATCAGAAAGGCCTTGGTGTGGAGTGCAGCCTGGCCCTGGGCTGAGCCTCACGCCATTACCCAGCACACTTCAGCGCTCAGAGCCTGAGAGTCAGCAAAATGTTGTAGACCGCTGTAGCCGTTCCTTCTGTGGAGGCACATTAGGGTGTCTGGGAACCCCCAACCACCTCTTTTCTTTATGGAAAGGAAACTCTGGTTTCCTCTTCACATGGGTTACCGTCAGAACTCGGGGTTCTGAGTGGCCGGGTTTCATTTGCCCGCAGTCCCAGGTTCGTTCTTCCTGACCCTTAAGTACCATATGCTTCCTGCAGCAGAAGAGGGGTACACACAAATTTGCAGGAGCTTTGGGGAAAGTCCTGCGTTGACTTAGTCCTCCTTGTCATTCTGGACAGAAAGAACCCTCTGGACCGCACAGCAAGCCCAGGGCGGAACTAGAACCACGGACTCCTGACTCCCAGACCGTGGGGGCCTTGTATCGCAGGCCCCATCACTGGTTGTGACCACAGCAGAGGGGGCATCAGAGTTAACTGGAGGCCCCCAAAGGCCTGTGGGCAGGGCACTGCCCTCCCTCCCTGAGCACTGCCTTCTTAGCTTTACCTGCTCCTATCACCACGGCATCGTACTCGGGCTTCAGGTGCCCCTGGGCTCCCGACTGAGCTCGCTTCCAAGCAGGACCGGCAGAGGAGTGCAGGGCCCTGCTGAGACCTCGGCCGCTGGCAGCCATTTCTGCCCCCAGCAATTTGCTTGCAGTCAGCTTTCCAGCGGCCCAGGCGGAGGGAGGGGCTAGGAGTTACAGCCCAGTGTCAGCCTTGGCCTTGGGCCACCGCTTCCCAGGGCTTGAGCTTCCGCTGCTCTGAGTTTGCGCACTCTAGTCTTGGGAAGGGGGCGGGTAGCCCAAGAATCAGCAGAGCCTGTGCCACCTCCAGGACCCAGGGAAGCAGGGACTAAAGAGAAAGAACAATTTAGATTGTCCTGGGCCCAGAGTTGGGCTAGAAGAGGGCGGGAGGGAGAGGTGGAGCCAGAGCAGAGGCCCCATCTTCCTTGGGTCTCTTTTCCCAGTAGGGGCAGAGGCCGGGGAGGAGGGTGGAGATCCTGCCCAGTGGGAGGGGCACAGGCAAGTCAGACTTCACCCCTCCTTGCTGGATAGAGTCTGAGCTTCCAAGGAGCCAGCGCTGCTCGGTTTGGCGGGAACCTTTCAGGTCACGTTTCAGGACAACCAAGACAACAGAAATGGTCGTCTTCATCCCCGAGAGCTGCGTGTTCTCTCCTGCACACTCCGCTGGGGCTAGTCTTACCGGGAGGAAGGGCAAATACAGTGTCCTGCTGATTCTTGAGGGTCACTCCTTTGAAATCTGGACAGTTCAAAGGCACTGTTTTGGCACCTTTCCCATCTCCCAAAGAGTCTGGGGTGATTTGAGCTCACACCTGCAAATCACCCCAACTAATGTGCTTCCTTACTTATCCCTGTGTCCTTTCTTGAATAGGGGACCTGTCCCTCTGGACCTGTCCACTCCGGAGGGGTATTGGTTAAACTAGACACCTCACACTTTGTGACTACTAAAACTTAAGAGAAAATCCTTATATTTTTAATTTACTTGTTTTTTATTAGTTCTTTGTGAATTTCACATCATGCACCCCAATCCCACTCACCCCTCATACCTTGCCCTCCACCTTTGCACCCTCCCCGCAACAGAGAGAGAGAGAGAGAAAAAAAACCCTCTTTGTGGAAGCTGTCGTCACAGTGTGTCCTACGGTACACCCTTTGTCCACACTTTGCTTGCAAATTTTCATTGCATGAATCGATGGTCTGGTACGACGCCTCCAGCTCCTGCCGCACTACCTAGACTGGATCCTCGTGGGGATCTTCTACGATACCCCGTTCTTGCTCTGTGTCTCGAAGATCTTGTCGTTTTGGATCGGTAGGATCATGCACTCCAGCGGTTCATCAACGGGGTAGATGAGTCCATTGCCTGAAAGGTTTCTGAGTTAGTTCTGCCGCTCTCACGCCCCTGGGGCTGGCTCACTGGGAACTCCTGAATTGTGTGTGTGTTGGGGGGGGTACTCTCCTGAGTACTGAGTACTGCAGCTAGCTAGGGGTGGGGTCAACTCTCCTGCTCTCATGCGCCCAGAGCCAGCTCTCCCAGCGGAGGGGATGCCCTCAGACGGCAGTGTGTCCCCAGGCGGCAGCCCAGCCCGTGCATGTTCACTTGGCCTTTGGCGGTAACAGACTTTGCTGCTGTAGAACCACAGATCCAGACGTGACCCCTGGTGGCAGCACAGGCCAGGACCCGAGATGGTCCCCGCTGGCATCACCAGCTACTCACATCAGGCTGTTCCTCACTGCCCTGGAGTGCCCGCATCCTTCTGTGTTCTCTTTCTCTTCCATTTCTCCACCACTTACTTGCTCCCCTCAGTGGCACCCGGGGTCTCTGAGCATCTGGGACCCATCTCAGGAGTGCTCTGCCCAGCTCATGCATTATAGCGCTGGGCAGAGGTCATCTCTAGAATGGTCTGTCCCCAAGTCCTGCATGGTGCTGGACTGGTAATCTTCTCAGGCTAGCTCTCTGTCCAGGCTCATGGCACTGGTCATGGTGGCTGTCTTGGGCTCACTCCTCGCCTGGCCCACCAAAGTGGCCCTTTGGGAGCATCGTCTGTCTCCAGCTCACCACCACCCGGGCCTGTGGTTCCAGGTGGGGTTCCTCAAGTCTCCGGCTTGCTCTCTGTCCTGGGAGCCCATCCAGGCCTGCCTGGCACCAGACTGGAGGTCGTCTCAGATTAGCTTCCCTGGTGCTGGACTGATGATCTCAGGCTCACTTTCTTTAGGGAATGTTAGGCTGCCAATCATTTAGGTGTTCTGAGGTCACAGCACATGTGACACAAAAGCCACACCTGCTACCCTTGTGGGGGCAGGAAACTTTTATATTTTCCAAGTGGGTGTCCAAGGGGCTGGGGAAATAGCTCAGTTGGTCATGTGCTTGCCACACAGTCATGACAACGTAAAAAACCCAGGAGTGCTGGGAGGCAATAGATCCCGGGGGCTTGCTGGTCAGCCAGCCTAGCTTGGCTCTAGACCAAGTTCCAGACCGTCTCAAAAATACAAGGTGGTGGCATCTGGAGAACTCCCACAGCTGACCTCCAGTCTCAGGCACACATGTGCCACTCCCCCCACCCCAAACAAAATGGGCACCCCAAACAGTGCTGTGTGGTAGGCAAAGTTACATATTATACTCTGTATGCAACTATATATATATATATATATATATATATATATAGAGAGAGAGAGAGAGAGAGAGAGAGAGAGAGAATATTAAGGAGGCACAGAGTCTTCCTTGTTGACACGTGCTTCTCACTGGCACCTTTTGAGGACTTCACTCTCAGTGTCTATTCTCCCCAGAGCTGATCCCTACAGATCAGCCTTCACCGCAGGAGCTTCAGCCCAAGGCTGATGCCTGAGGCGGGGCCTTGTGCTCACCAGGGCACCCACCCCCCTTTTCATAGTGTAGGATACCCACTACTGTCCACAGTGGATACACATTTCTACCATGAACTGCCCTTTGCCCAAGCATTACCTCTCGGTCTGAGAGGAGCAGGGCTATGCCCCAACATTCTGGTGGTCTCCCCTCCTTGTAGAGAGGAGCAGGGCTATGCCCCAACATTCTGGTGGTCTCCCCTCCTTGTAGAGAGGAGCAGGGCTATGCCCCAACATTCTGGTGGTCTGGGGAGACCTTGTATCTATCCTCTTTGTGGTGCTTTGACTGTGGTGCTTGACGGGCCCAACAAGCCTATAGGGAGTGGCGCTGTTAAGAGGTGTGGCCTTGCTGGGGGAAGTGCGTCACTGTGGGGTGGGCTTTGAGGTTTCAGAAGCTCAAGCCCAGTTCTCTCCTGCTGCCTGTGGATCAAGAAGTAGAACTCTCAGATCCTTCTCCAGCACCATGTCTGCCTGCACGTCACCAAGCAGGTTCATGACGGTAATGGACTAAACCTTTGAACTGTAAACCGGCCCCAACTAAATGTTCACCTTTTTAAGAGTTGCCGTGGTTATGATGCCTCTTCACAGCAATAAAACCCTGAGACAGAAGTTGGTACCAGGGACTGGGGTACTGCAGTGATAGGCCTGACCTTGATTCTTCCTGCAGGAATGTGGACCCTAAGACTCTGGATTAGAAAAGCAGTAGAGTGCTTGAAGTGGGGCATAACGGACCGTCCTAGCTAGGAGCATGGAAAACAGTAGTGTCAAAGGTGATGTGAACTGTGGAGTTCAAGAGGTTTCAGGGGAGAAGAACGTTTGTATGTGGCCTAGAGACTGTTCTTGAGATATTTTGGTTGGAGAATGTGGCTGCTCTCTGTCCTTGTCCAAACAAACAAACAAACAAACAAACAAACAACCTGTCTGAGTCTAAATGGAAGAATTATGGATTAACAGCTTTAGCAGACGACATTTCAAATCAACCTCACACTGACTTTGTTGTGTGGCCGTTACTGTTTACTCTCAGGCGGATTTATAACGAAAAGGACCCGAGCAAGGAAAGTCACAAAATGTACAATTTGAAGAGAAAAGTGGCACCAGAGAGTGGAAGGGAGCTAAGTCCTGTGTTCAAGGAGATAAACAGATTAAAGAAAAGCCTGATGTTAACTGGAATAAAGAGTGGTGGTCTTGGGGCAAGATCCCATCCAGCTAAGCTTCCAACTTGTGAAAAGGAATTAAATAATATTTTAGGGCTGAATGTGGTGGCACACGCCTTGAATCCCAGCACTCTGGAGGCAGAGGCAGGCAGATCTCTGAGTTTGAGGCCAGCTTGGTCTACACAGCAAGTTTCAGAACAGCCTAGCTGTTCTGAAGAAAACCATCAAAATCAGAAAGCTGGTGAAGATGTCATTGAACTTTTTGGGAGGTCTGCCTCCCGAAAATACTATTGCAATTGCGTCTCTTGAAGAAAAAAACATTATTCTAAATGTAAACAGATTCACTCAATTCTCTTGAAGAAAACTTCAGAGTGGGTAATGCTGCTGTCTAGCTCTCTTGGCATGCACTCGCCAGACGGTGAGGAGCACTGCTTTCTGTGCCAGCAGCATCTGGGGGGTGAGAAGAGCCGGTCCACGTAGCTGAAGAGGGCATCCCAGTGCTTCCAGAGAAAGGCAATGAAAGCCACAAGGAATAAAGTGCTAAGCGTCCTGTTGCGTGTCTTCATGAGGGGGACCACACAGTTGGCTACCGTGGACACAAACACCAACAGGACTGCCATGACAGCCAGGAGGATGTTGATGAGTTTGCCCAGAAGGTTTCAGGCAGTGGCATTCTCCAGCCCTTCCAACTGCACCACCTGCTGCTGTTGCTGCTGCAGCTCCATCTTGGAGATACGGGTCTGACAGGCCTCCAGGGCCTCCTGGATGTCCCGGGCCCGTTCATAGGACTGATAGGCGATTTCCTCTTCCATGCTGGCCAGCTCCTGCTTTAGGTTCAGGATCTCATTCTGGTGAAGCTCTGTCAGGTCATTCAGTTGCTCTTCTAGTCGTTCACATCTATACCGCTCTTCCTGTAAGGTCTGCATTATTAAGGAGTAGTCCCTTTGATGATAATGCTCCTTGAGGGTCTCGAAGGATTCTTCCAGTCTGGCCTGGGTTTCCCGGGTCTCCTGCAGTAGTAGTAGTGCATCAAACCCTGAGCTCTGCATGTCTAGGGTGTTTGTTTTGGAGCTGGATGCTCTTACAGCAATGCTCCAGGTGGTACTAGAGCCATGTTTCAGCCCTAGAAAGCAGCAGCACCTGGCAGCTTTGACCACGTGGTTCTGACTTTAGAGTCAATAACAAAAGAAAGGGGTTATGGAATCTCTCCCTGGGACTAAGGAACGGCACTGAGGCCAGGAATGTCCCTCAACCGGGAACTAGAGCAGCCACTGCATGGGGCTGTGAAGGTGAAGCCTGGATTACCTTGGAGACCCCAGGGTGTTGAGGACAGGTCCTAATAGGAGTGGAACCAGCCCAGGGGAAAAGTGTGTAGCAATCAACAAAGCTAAAAGGAACTGGGATCTACAGCGTTTCCCTGTCAGCCTTGGAGATGCAGAGTTTGGCATCTGCCCAACTGGTTTTGGGTCTTTTTTTTTGGTTCAGTATTTCCTCATTATGCTCCCTTTCTTCCCATTTGGAATGGTAATGAATATCCTGTGCCACTGTATGTCAGAAGTCTGGATTTGCTTTTTCATTTTGATTTTAGAGGGGATTATAGTTAAGAAACTGCAGGAGTCTCACAAGAAACTTTGAACTTTTACACAAGGTTCAGACTGTGATAGACCATGGGACCTTCCGAGGTTGGACTAAATGCATTTTGCATTGTTATAGCTAGAAGCCTATGTGGCCAGGGAATGGCACCATCAGGAGGTGTGGCCTGGCTGGGGAACGGTGTCACTGTCAGGGCAGGCTTTGAGGTTTCAGTTGCTCAAACTAGGCCCAGTCAGTCTTGATCCCTTGCTGTGGCTCAAGATGCAGAACTCTCAGCTCCGTCTCCAGTACCATGTCTGGCTACATTCAGCCACTCGTCTCACCATGAGAATGGACTGTTATGTAAACTTCAATCCAGCTCCAATTAAAGATTTTCCTTCCTAAGAGTTGCTGTTATCACAGTGTCTCTTCCCAGAGTTGAAACCCCAACTATGACACTCTTGGTTAGAAAGGAGGGGCTGTCCTCCTAAGAAGTTCTCTGGGTAAAGTGCTTTTCTGGGAGCCTTAAAAAGTGGCAGAGCCCAGTCTTCACACTGGCTAAGAGAACAGGAATCTTGGCATACGTCTCAGAACCGCTGGCCCAGTGCAGGGGAGGGCGCACGTGGACGGGCTGGGACTTAGAAAGGGAGTCTTAGTATCATGGGAAAGGCCAGAAACAGACTTGGATAATATCAAGAACTAACATTTATTGAGCACCTGCTGTGCGTTCAGCAATCCTCCCGCCCACCTGAGAGGCAGGTGTTATCAGTTCAAATGGGAGGCAACTGGACTCACCCAGAGTTGCAGGGGAAGGGAGCCAAGCTGGAACGCTGACCAGCTGGTGAGAGCACCTTTCGTTTGGGGTAGGAAACAGCTCCCCACTCAGAATGGTAGGAAGGGGTGACTTTACACAGCCTGAGTGCTAAAGACTTTCCCCCACTCTTCTGGGCACCCAGAGGGGCAGCTCTCCCGAGAAGCTGCTGCCACCTTTGGCCGCACAGTGTTGGAGGCCAAAGGAAACATGGCACCCCTCCTTTCAGAGAAGGCTTGCCCATTAGCCTTCATGGAGGAGTCAACAGCAGGCTGTGAGGGAACCCGGGCTGTTCTGGGGTATCTGCCCCTCATGTAGGAGCTGCTGGGATGGGAAGAGGCCTAGCTGTGGGAAATGCCTTCAAGCACGCTGGCTTGGGATCAGGAGAGGACAGAGCTCTCCGGCCTAGGGCAGGGTCACCCGGGAGGCCTCCCCCAGGCGCTGGGCCAGTTGGCTGGCCTGCTGCACTAGCAGCTCAGTGGGGATGACGGACAGGTGCACCATCAGCAGCTCATAGCACCTGATGGATTCCGAGGGCCGGCTCTTGCTGTAGTATCGCAGGAGCTTCCTGCAGGAGACAGGGCAGGACTCAGGCAAGGCCGGGGGGGGGGGGGGGGGGGGCTTCCTGGCCACACTAGCCTCAAAACCCACCCCACAGCTCACAGAATGACCTAGGCTGCAACGCCACCTACTGCTTCTAAGCTCCAACTCACAGGACAGTTTCTCTCTTGGAGCTCTCTAGCCAAGAACAGTGGTGCTGTGTGTGTATGTGCGTGCGTGCGTGTGTGTCCATGTAGCTAAGACTGTGCCAGCAGCAGGATGGGAGGGGCCTGCATGTACTTCTGGGTGCTTCCTCTCTTCTTGTGGGATTCCCACCAGCTCTATCTTATCAGGGTAGCTGCTCACTCTTGCAAAGGCTGTTGCCCGTGGGAATTGGAGGCCTTGCCACCAATGCCTGGGGCACATGTGGCTCCAGGCCAGCCAGCATCACCTGTAGTAATCCCCTCCCAGCACTCCGATGGGGACTGAGTCATCTGAGAGGACAGGCACCTCGATCATCTGCAGTTTGTAGCCCTGTGGAGGAGGAAGACAGTTTCAGAGTGCGAGGGAGCAGGGAGTAGGGCGCAGATGGGCTTGAGGGAGAGCCGGCTGAGTGTCCCCGTCCCCGGCACCTCTGCCTTTGCCTCCTTTCCTTGCCTGGGAGATAGAGATGGCCAGCTTAGAGATCACCTTAGACACTGGAATGTGGTCCAGTGCACAGAAAGGGAGAATGGCACGTGTGTGTGGGTCTTAAGAAACAAAGGATTCTCAAAAGGCCCCAAGTCTCCGCTTTAAGAAATGGGAATTCTGAGGGCAGGACAGGAGGAGGAGAAAATGGGGAAGGGGGTGTCAGTTAAGCATATGTACGTGCCAGGCATGATTCTGGTGCCCACAGATCCTCCCATCAGAGGCTCAGGTGGCACCATGAGGCTTGGCCCATAGGGAGATGGTTCGGCAATATTCAAGGACTTGTGTGGCCTGAGTGTCACAGCCGGGGTCAACACTTGGCCTCCCACATTGCACCCCATTGCCCCGTGGGGCCACTCTAGTCACAAAGTCCTTGTCCCTAGAAGCTCTGGCACCTTGGGACACTCAGGAATACTAGGAGCTTAAGGAACAGGACAGAGAACCTTGGTTTCTTGCTCCATTATTTGGGTTTATGGACCTAGTCATGGTGTTTATCTCACAGACAGCAGCGTGTCCCATCTGTAAAATGGGTCAACAGAAGCTCTCCCAAGCATTCCCCCAGACAAGGAAACCACACTGCACTCTGGTGAGCTGTTACACGCTCAGTGAGTGGAAAGAAGAGAACAAGAGCCAGGACCCCGTGGTACTGTGGTGGCAGTGAGAGCCACAGTCCTGCACAGCACAGGCGGGGACTTGAGTCCTGCTGGAGGCAACCCTTGTTCAGGTTTGAACCTGGGTCTTCCCAGATAGCACGGGTCATGGTGTTGCTTTCTTGCACACACGTAACAGTACTGAAGTAGTACAGCTGAAGAGGCTACTGGGGTTACAGCGCCTTCTTCTCAGAACAGGGAATGTCTCCCATCAGCTCATTTCTACCTGGACAGGCCTATGCCCCAGTGCTGTGCTTACCTGCCATTCCACCAGGGACAAGAGGAGATGAGACAGACAGACTGAACAGAAGAAGGGTATCCAAGGGTTTAGAGCAGCGGACAGCTCTCAGGGCCGCCCTGCCCAGAGACTGGGCACACCCACCATGTCATTCTCGAACCACAGGAAGTAGGAGCAGCGGAAGTCCCCTTCCTGGAACAGCAGCGTGGTGCAGCCCTTCTGCAGGTACCTGCGTGCCAGCCGGACCAGAGCCCAGACCTGCAGAGGGGAAAGTTGCTTAGCACAACTCCTGTGGCCGTGACCTCGGTCAGGAAAAGCAAAGCACAGAGCTGGGGAGTTCCTGGGAGTCCAGGATGTCTCAGAGTCAGGCTGCTGTCCGGACTCAGAGCTGTGGGAGCAACGCCTTACAGGATGGACACCGAGAAGGGCTCCCCCTCCAGCTGCCGTGGGGTAAAATGCACGTGGGAGCACTCCATGTAACTTTACCATACACACAGCCCATGCATTAGTAAACTGCCCATCGGGACCAGGAAATGGCCAACGTCTGCTCTACGAGGCTTGCCCCCTTCATGCCAGGGCTGGGAAATGACCCAGAAGCCTCCGTGGAAGGAATGTGGGCTCGCACTTGACCACAATATACCATCTAATTAAATCTGCAGTGGGCACAGCACCAGCTCCAGTTTCTGCGAAGGCAACATGACAAGACAGACAATTTTGTAACAGCCCTCATATCTGACTTCGCACTTGCATTTCTAGGGATCAGAACTGAGGACACCCAGGGATGAGGGCTTAGGCGTATGCACAGGAGTGTCCACAAACTATACTAGTGATGGTCTGGGGACAATCCACAAGTCCACTCCTTGGGGAACAGCTCCATCTGCACGATGGACCTTCGTGGGGCTGCTAAAGAGCAGCATGGAAAGAGCTCACAGCAGGCACGCGGCGCAGTGTGAAGTGAGAACTTGTCACTCAGCCCCCGGTGTGCAGAGGGAGCAGCATTGGGGTGAAGGCAACAAAGAACAATGTGCAGGAGTCCCAGCTGTGCCAGAGCAGGACACAGCAGCAATGTGGCAGGTGAGGAAGAGGACCGCGCTGTTTGCAGCGTGCTCTGACCCTGCCCCAACCCTGCTCTGCCCCGGCTCTGGAGCTTCATCCGTGTTCAGTGACCTGCATCCTTTACACTAATGCTATGTCGTAAACGGTACCATTCTATAACAGAGTTTTGAACTGAAATGGAGCTAAACCACGCCAAGGCCACACAGCCATCCAGAACAGCGCGGGCTTTCCAGCACTGGCTGTCCACCATGATTTTACATCATGATACACTCTATGTGGACAAGATAAAAATACAGCATTTTAGAAATGGCTTTCCTTCAAGAAGAAAACCACAAGTCTGTTATCAAGAAGAATCAGTTAGATTAGGACAGAGAAGAGATGCTTTCTCAGCAGAAACCACCCACTTTTGCACTGGGCTGGCGTTAGGGTGAAGCTCAGGGGCAGAGGGAAGGCTCAGGACACGAGACCTCGGGCTCCATGCCCAGCATGACAAAAATTAAAGAACTCAGATTCTGATGCCCAAATTGCTTGACTCTGATGTTTTGTTTTGTTTTGTTTCCAGTTCAGCCAACTGAACAGAGCCTTGCTATGCATCCACTGACACTGGGCACTGACCTGGCTCCAGAACTTGGGGGATGCTAGGCACACTGAAGAACACCAGGAGGGGCAATGGGTCTGGAGGACAGGCCTCGTGCCTAAGGAGCTCATGACACACAGGTGATGGTGGGTCCGCATGGAGGGTTACACCGGAAGTAATTAGATCCTCAAAGACCAGAAGAGGGCCCGTTTCTCCTGGGTCAGGCCTCGGGGCATCCTACCCTGGCCCAGAGCCCCTGGGCCAGAGGCACAGTTACCTTGGTTTTGACGAAGGCAGCCAGGGGCCCCTTGCCCAATTCAGAAGACATCTTATCACTGTCGCTGAGGGAAGGAGCCACCATCTGCCCGGTTGTACGGTCCACATAGATGAAGTGGACCAGGCCTGGGAAATCCTCCAGGTAGGTGAAGGCCTGAGTTAAGGGGCTTAAAATCCAGGGACAGTGGGGACAGTGGTGTGCTCTGCCCTGGTCATGGGGTTCCAGCTCCACAGAGGTGAGGTTGGAGGACCAGGCTGCTCCTCTACACAAGCCTCTATTAAGCCCCAGGGACCTCATTTTCCCCTAGCTTTCCCGCTGCCTGCCACCCAGTCTTGAGATCCTTGCCAGCTCATGTTTGACTTAGGTGCTTCTGAACTCCATGGAAGGAAGACAGTGTGTTCACAGCTGGTCATTTCAGGAGTGGATTTAAACAATGCACACCTTGAGGTGTGTGCACGGAACCACTCAGCAGATGAGCCTGGCTGACTGACCACCCTCACCATGGTTTTATTCTTCTTCACCTGAGAGGTTGGAAGCACCATCTATGAAAGGGGAAGAGACTTCCACAGAAGGGCAGTGGCTTATGGGTAAGAGGCCTTTCGGCTTCCTGCTCATCTGCCTGCTTAGGACCAAAGTCCCATGAGACTGAGCCTAGAAACGTGGGAGGTTTTAAGCAAGAAGAGCTGTGTGAACCTCCCCAGAAAACCAGCATTAAACGAAAGTAGTTTCTACAATGCAGAGATCACGTGTCTTGGAAACAGGGACACGCACATCTATGGCAGGCCTTCTCAGTGCCCTTGCTTGGTACTGGGCTGTGACCATCCATGGAGGTAAAGCAAGCATCCTGGCCCCATGGAGAAGGATTACCATTTCACCGGATAGAAAACATGGACGTAAGGTCCTTGAAGGTTTCTAAATAAATCTGGAGCAGCAGGAATTCTGAAGCTCAGCCATGGGGGCTATTCCTACAGATGGGTATAGGGGACAGGAGAACACATGCTAGCCTCCCCTGGGCCTGCCACCCGGAGATCCCAGGCTATCTTGGGTGGGCTGAGCCAGGCAGAGGATATGACACCATGGTGATGTTCCTCCGGCTTTTCACCAGCAGGAAGTCCTTCCAGTCCTGCAGCCGCTCCCTGGGGAGGGAGAAGAACTGGCAGTTAAGCTGCTGCATCTGGGCCCCACCCATCTCACATACATCACCCTTACTCACTTCATG